ACCAAGCTCATATGGTGCGTTGCGGTTGTCAGTGACAAGATTGCCCACAATGTCCAGTATAATGATGCTATTGCCTAACCCGTCAGTGCATGTTGACGTTGTAGGGTAGTATGAACCCGAACACTATGCCTACTGAGTGACTCGATGAGTGCACAGTTAATCGCGTCATTGTGGGACTAGTAGCAGATGGAAGCCAAACAGACTCGCGAAACGGAACTGAAGTACAGATGCCTAGGAAAGTTAAGTCCTGTTTGCAGGTAAATCTTGGAGCCTTGTTACGTTGATTACCCATACCGAATCTATTAATATAGAATTCACTTGTTCACATCAGATGTCAACAAAAAATAATTATGGCCACAACCGTACCTTATAAAATACATGCTAAAAGAATATTAATTATGTCTAATGTTGAAGCAACTAGGAAATGAGAACATCTCTTTTAGAAATGAAGACCTTGTTGACACGAGTGATACGATTTCTCTTTTTACTTATTTTGTTCTGCAAGGTTAGCTGTTTTATTATGACAAAATCTATAGCTCAACAACTTTCGAAAATTATCCTTGGAACTACTAATCGTCGTTTTCTCAGAAAATCATCTTATCTTAATGCATTAATGAGTAAACAGTGTCGTTTTGTTGTGAAGACATTTTAATGACGGTACACCCTTAAATTCCTCAAAAATTACCGATTTTTAGGAGGTTTAAATTTACTTATTTGAAAATAAGAATGGAAATACCTTTAATTCCTCAAAAATTACCGATTTTTAGGAGGTTTAAATTTACTTATTTGAAAATAAGAATGGAAATACCTTTACTGTGCTTGGAGGATGTTAAAAACCGTTCTTACCGAATTTTTTATGGTTTAAATTTAAAAATATTGGCTTAACAATATCTGATTTCAGCTCGGCGGGACTAGGCGCTAAACAGGCGAAATTCTCGAAAAATAATGTGACAAATTGATGGTACAATAATTTCAACAAATTCCAACAAAGAGTAGCCTTGAACTTTATTTGCCGTTATGAATTCGAAAATCCTCTCGCTTGCTGAAATCTTAAATCGTGATATTTAGAGCGCACCGGCTTCTGTTTCTTTTGACAACTGGCCTAAATCGACTTTTCCATTGGTGTATATATCATTTACCTTAAATCTGGCAATTATGATCCTCGCATGTTTGAATCATGTGTCGGAATTAAACTTTTCTTACGTCGTTATTATTAATGACCTCATATATTTTAGTTTCTATATTTTGTTCTTTCTTTTGTTCTATTTCATCTTTAAATGCATTTTTCTAACGTGTAGCCAATATTGTCATTGTCATCGCTGTTTTAGTATGTATTGCTTTAGTGCTTTGATTGTAATGCAGAAGATGCAGTGAGTCTCCCTCTAATTGGTCTTTTTCGTTTCATTTTTCTTGTAGTCTATTTTCCAGACCTGTCACGAGACAGATTGAGTGTTTTCGTTTACTGTGGTCTAACTCATCCCATATATTTTTGATGAGGGTCATACCCAGCAATTGATTAAGAGAGTGAAGCGCTTTGAAGCAGTTATATAAAAGCTATTCTTGAATGAAGCGGAACTTATGTTTGAAGTTGTTATCTTGGTAGAATTGAATTGTTTCCAACATATAGCATTGTTGTGGCAATGTTGTTTTCGTTTTTTACATGTTGAATATGATTACGGAAGATTAACGGTTTGTCCAAAATACTCCCAAGCATTTAACATGGCCAGAAAAAAGAATTTCATGACGTTGAATTATCAAAACAGTTGACAATTGATTATCGCCAAGAGGCTAATCATGTACCATTGCTGCCAACTTTCGAATATTCCCCGTAAACTTTTCCGTTACAATGTTTTAATGACTGAGAAAGGCGTGAAAAGTGAAAGAAGAAGAAGAAAGTCGTTTTTTTTTTTGTAAAAAAAAACACATATGGTAAACAATAACAAGCACGCAAAATGAAATAAAAAGAAAATGGTGTAGGATTTTATTTTAAGCCATGAATGACAAATAAATTTCAATGTTGAAATTCTCGTAATCAATTTAGAAGAAATTTTTAATGATGACCTGTATATAAAAATTTTTTTTTCCATCAGAGTAGTGAGTAATACTTTCAACCATTATTTATTGTTGTAATTTTTATTTATGTTTTTGAGCGAGTTAAAATATTCTTTGTATTTTTAAGATTATTACAACGTCTATAAATTTTGAGCCGGCAATATTCCAACTTCTTCACCTACTTGCCTCACTTATGGTGTCCCCTTACAAATATCAACACCATTGTCTTCGTAGGTCGCCTGGGAATTGAGGAAAGCAGATTGAGGGTACGTTATTACAGTCTTGTCCCCCTAAACATTAGTCCTACAAAACCGTTTTTCCAAAATCTACCCACTTCTCGTATAAAATATCACTTAAACTCATTGTAAATTGTTTTTGTATCTTTCACAAATGCTATTAATAATTCATCCGCTTCTGGTAATATGAAATGCATGTGTGTCGTAATTAGTTTTACCTTAATTCAAAGGAACAAGAAAAATTTAATTTGTTTGATTTTATGCCAGTAGCATTTGTTACAATTCATATAATTTCATAGGCATTCAATTCACATCAAGAATAAACAATTAAGAAGTAATATTCGGCGGGGGCCAAATCTTGGTTACCCAACACTATGCTTTTCGCATTCTATTCCCCAAGTTTTTTTTTGATATCGACGGTATTGTTAAGAAAAAATTTATCGTGGTAACCCACTTTCAAGCAGAGAATATATCTTCATTTGAGAAGTGTACACAATAGTTTTATATATTCTGTCTTAATTGCCTCTTGATAAATAAGCATAAAAAAAGGGAAAAAAATAAAATTTAATTACTTGTAACTTTGTGTAGACATGGTCGATTGTTTCCATTTTTGGACGTAAAGACTAAAGTTCTTTGTAGAGTAAATAAGGAAGATCTGAGCCTTCCTACTTTAATAATTTCCGAGCAACGAGCAAAAACCAAAGATTTTTGTTAAAAAAAACGGATTTTGGATCAGTTTACGCTCCACTGGCCCATTTTCCATAAAAATCTGTGCAAAATTTCCAATGTTTTTACCAGGAGAGTTCCAACATCCAGACACACGGACGGACATGGAGAGACATGGGTAAATCAACTCCGAATTTCATTTTGATCAGGAATGTATGTACCTTATAGGGTCTCTGAATTTTCCTTCTGGGTATTACATATATTATGGAAAAAAGCAAAATGAAAATACACCCACTCAGTGGTGGGTACAAAAGTGTTTCCTGTCAATTATACTCAGAAACAAAAACACATTCACGCCACGAACCTTGAAATATTTAATTATTACCAAACGATTTAAATAGCAAAACCTTCTTTACATATTTTTCTCTAATATTCAAAACCCAACACATTTCAATACAGCAATTTCGCCTTGTAATTTGGGCTTCCCTTCTTGTATTCTATTCAAATGCTACTTTCCTTTTTACAGTCTTATCTTCTGGTCAAAAGTGACAAACCGGTTTAATTTCTTTCGTCAAGCTAGATCTATTTGCTTCTTAAATGGTTTTTTACGTAATGGTTTCATGATCATATACGTTCAATCTACAGGTTACATAATGTTATCCACAACATATTCAATGCATTTTAATATCTGTTCCAAATATATCCATGTTATATTGTAGCATATAGGGATGTTAAATTCAACGTCGATAAAAAACTGACTGGAAGAATAGTTACTATGCCTGCCTAATTGGCTAGGCTGCGAAAAAAGAAAATGTGGAAGAAAAAAAAATGTTGGGCTAGACAGAGGAGATAGAGATTTAGACTTGGACAAAAGCAAAATCGCACATATTCTCAGATCGGATAAAATGTAAAACTTGATATAAATTTGGTCGGGGCACAAAGAGAGAACGAAGTAAACGTCAGTCTGTTAAACATAGACGCTAGTGACAAAAGAAATGTAGACATTAGAAACAACAACAAAAAAGAAACCTTTTTCTAGTACAATGAGATTAAAAACCATATTTAATGTGAAAGTCAACTTAATGAACTGCTTTACTGGAATAGTGTTTCAACTCTTATTTTTACGAAGACTTACAATAAAAACTACCAGAAATCTATAATATAACCACAAAAGCAAAGAAGTTTAACTGAAGAAAGATGATGTTTTTTTAAAAATTATCTGAAGTTACTTCATAAACATTTTGTATTGTGGTGATTAAGAATAATAACAAATAATATGATAGAAGCAACTATAACAAGAAATGTTTAAAAATGGGTTAATTGAAACATGTCATAAAACTAAACAGGATCCAGAAAAATGTTTTAAAAAGCAATTATGGACATGCGCTTGCATTCTAAAAGGCATGATCAAAATCTCTGTATTGATCGAAGTTGACCGGCATGTTAGCAGTCGTAACATCGCGCAAGAGCTAAAAATCGACCATAAAACACTTTTAAACCATTTACACAAAGCTAGATTCAAAAAGAAGCTCGATGTTTGGTGCCACACCAATTAACAGAAAAAAACATGATGGATCGAATTTCCATCTGCGAAGCCTTGGCCAAACGGAATGAGATAGACCCATTTCTTAAACGGATGGTGACTGGAGATGAGAAATGGATCACATACGACAACTCTGTGCGAAAACGATCGTGGTCAAAAAGCGGTGAAGCACCTCAAGCGGCCAGGAAGGTTTTGTTATGCATTTGGTGGGACTGGAAGGGGATTATTTATTATGAGTTGCTTCCATATGGCCAAACACTAAATTCTGATCTCTGCTGTCAACAACTGGACCGTTTGAAGATAGCGATTGACCAGAAACGGCCAGAATTGGCCAACAGGAGAGGTGTCGTGTTCCACCAGGACAACGCTAGGCCACACACATCTACAGTGACTCGCCAGAAACTTCGGGAGCTTGGTTGGGAAGTTTTAATGCATCCGCCATACAGTCCGGACTTGGTACCAAGCGATTATCATCTTTTTCTTGCATTGCAAAATTTCTTTAATGATAAAACATTGGAATCTAGGGAGGATTGTGAAAATCGACTACTAGAGTTTTTTGCAAATAGAGACCAGGACTTCAATGAGAGAGGAATGGCAACAAATCATGCAACAAAACGGTGCATATTTGACCCAAATCGGACAATCCGAAGCATGTTAAATAAAGTCCTGAAATTCATATAAAAATAATGGATTTCTTTTTCCCCAAACTAATATTTAGGATATACAGTGGGGAAAATTCAACAAAGCATTTTTTTCAAAATCTAGTCAGAGATGTTCTTGATATTTACAATAATTATTTATGTAAAGTTAAACCTATGAACACTTTGACGCCTGCGGAAAGCGAGAGACAAGGCATAGTTTGGAGAAGCCGAGCTTCAGGTTTCTATTCTGAACAATATAGGTTCGAGAGTTTTGGAGCAGTGCGTCCATAGAAAGCTAAGTCCGTCCACTTTAATGGGTAAGTTGCAGGAAATGAACGTGAAAGGTGTATTCTGTAGTCGCTAAGGGTTTCACGAGAAGGTCCGCCTTGCGTCGAGGGCTGTAGCCCTGCCATGGATTACCTGTTGCACGATGGTAGGGTGTACGCTGAGTGGATGTCGTTCCCAGTACGCCGCTACGATGAAGTACCCATAGGCTGCCGATGCCTCAGTTTTGACCATACGGTCAAAAATGGCAGGGTGAGGAGCGTAATTTGTCGACACTGTAGTCAAAGTTTCCACAGATACAGTGTGTGTACGATCGCCACATACTGTAGAAACTGTGAGTTTATGGGCGTCAGGCGTGGCAGCTCGCCATTAAAATGGTCTTGCTCATATTGCAATATAACTGAAACGACAATTATAGTGCGTTGTGCGAGCTCGGGGAGTGTACGCGAGTGTTGAGCAGTGGACTGAAGCTAGTCCAGGCCACTTACGTGTCGGGGTTAGTCTCAAGGGCTTGCCAATTGACATGATATTTCTTGACACTAATAGCTATTCTACTATCATTATAAATGTTGTGAATGTGGAAGCAACACTTGTGCTTGTTAGTAGACATGGTGCCTCCAGTGGAGAACTATTTGTGAGGTTCGTGTAAGCCTCCATTGTAAGCTTAATCAGGAACTGGATGGTTATCTCAAGTATTCGGATTCGGAGTTACTGATCGCTAGTTGCACTCCATTGATACTGGGACTGGATGCTAATACTTACACTCTTATAGTTTACCAACGGGATCCTGGCTTACGCAACCAAATAAGAGCTGAAAAGCTGTCCGAATGGTGCTTAACCAGAAGTTTCCAGTGGTTAAATGAATCAAGTGATTGGTTCACTTTTCATGGTCTAATAGGAGCTAGTGATGATGCTATCGCCATTAGGGCAGCATTGGGCGTTTTCCATTTCTCTTGGCAGATTAAAGGTGGATGGTGTGCTAGCGATCACAATGTAGTTAAAGTGTTAGCTAACTACTTCCGTCCTGGGTCCACTCAGCCAAACGTGGAATGTTGGCGGTCTTATAGGGTTAATTGGGATCTCTACGGCGTCTATGTAAAGAGAACAGTTACTTTGCTGCCGCATAGGGTTATCGGGAGTAAACGAGTTTCAACGACTTCCTTCTGGAGAAATGTCGTAAAACAAATCGAAAGGAGATCAAGGCACGTGGTCAGTCACATAAAAGTGGAGCACTTCGCAGACTTAGGAAGCAACTGCAGCGTGCGAGACGGTCAATTGCAGCAAATGTCTTGCAGCTTAGGAGTGGCTTCAGGCAGTGCTTTGAGCGAATGCTAGTCAAGATGAAAAAACACGAATTTAGAGCTTTTGTCTCTAACAATCGGGACGACTCTTGGGGTCTCGAATATGGAGTCATTAGCTGCAATAAGCCCTTGGAAATCAGTGGTATATACAAGTAACACTGTACTAACTACTTGGAGAGAGTGTTTGCAAACCCTGATGGAATTATTCTTTCCTGCACAGGTCGATGTTGCATTCGTATAGAATCCAGTCCTCCTTCCTTGGAAAAAGCGGAATTGGGTCACGCTATGTCATCTGGAAAGTTATTCCGGAATATATGCGTACGACCTATAATCGATGACTTTCGGAAAGTCATTTTTCATTTTAACGGAAAATGGCCAAGACTGTAGTTCTCTTAATGTCACCTGATAAAGTGAGGAGCGATCCTTCATCTTATCGTGGCATCAGTCTTCTCTCAAGTCTCTCAGTCCTTGAACAAGTGTTGGAGGGAGTGATGGTTGAATGTCTGTTTTGAGTCTGTCTGATTACTAATTTAGAAAGTTTTTTTCTTAAGTCTGACTGAAGAAAGTCTTACCAGCTTATTCTATCTCTGGTATTGTAGTGTAGTGAAAACCTATTTCCACGTTTCACTGCATTGGTATTGCTGTATAAACTTTGTTTGTGTCTTGATCATTTCTTTCCTAGAGGGTCGTTTACCTTAATAAACAGAAGACATCGTGATAAGCTTCGTTTGCCCAATGAGAACACAATGTTCATGTACATTGTGCTGACTGGTCCTAAAGTACAGTCTCATCTGTACATTTTATCCAACACCGACACCCATGCGATGCAAATCCTGACCGGAGGCTTTTATAATTTTTTCTTCCTTCACTTTTTCTCTTATTAAATCGGGTACCACGGGTGTCAGGAGCACCCGAAATAATCTTCTAGCGTCGGCCTGACAGCGAGAAAAGTCTATTGCGGGAATATTCTGGTGGCTGTGGTTGCCCCAAAATCACGAGAACAATAAACATTTGAAGTGTTAGATAGGCCTCGCCTTACACTGATTGAGCGAGATGCCATTTACATGTTCTTAGTCTGTTATTGAAGGGTAGCTTTACTCCCTTTGGGACGCAAGTGACGCTTTCTTACTTCATGTGCTAACGGGCGCCATAGGCAAGTGCGTAAATTATGTAATATATTGTAACGAAATTCATTTTTCTCGTGCTAAATCGTGGATATTTTTTGTAAGAAAAATACACTTGCACGTTTTCACTACGACTCTTTTAGTTACAGTCAATTTGTTTAGGGGAACTATCTACATTTGACTTTGACAATACTTAGGACTTCTCATCTGTAGTATTCTTCTTCGACCAAAATTTTTTTGTCCTACTGATTGCCTTCCGCGTATAGTCTATTTATATACATTTTTACAAGCACATTACTATTACCTAACTTCTCGGCTTCATTTTTAATCCGTTAACCTGCTTTTCCGTTAATCGTTTACCTCGGCCGGCAGCTGCACCACGCGACGCGAATGTGTGCTTGGGTTTTCCCTCTCTAGGGAATTTATTTGCCTTTGTGAAAATCAATTAGTTCCAATTAACTGGATTTGGAATTTCCGCAACAATATATTAGTGAAATAAGCGTATAATCAATTTTCTAAAATTTATTTTCTCTTTTTTTTTAATTTATTCGCCAACTTTTCGTCAGCTACTTTATTAATAGCTATTACGTTTGTTTACTTATTAGAGAGGAGAACTAGCAACGAACTTGTCCCAAGGAATTGTGGGCTTACTTTGCAATGTAGTTGGGTAGCTAATTTTAAACCCTAATGGAGCAATTTGTTCGGGAGCCAGTTTCATCCCCTCTTATATAAATATTACCAGCCGATTTATTTGCTTTATAGGTATTATACAACTGATAACCACGACTTGCTCGTTCGTAACAGATCACACATCATATTCAATATACAACTTATTGCAGACTCCGTTGTTCTATGTAAAGAATTACCTAAACTATGTACTTTCACGTGGCCCAGACTATGATAACAGCGATCGGAAGGACTTTGCGGAACCAGCATGGCAGAACCACCACTAAAAATAAAAATTTTTGCTCAGGTTCATCTGTATGTAAGTCCGGTCTTCACAATTCTGAGAGAGCGTTTCTGGAACCCCTTCTGCATACATACAGCTAAAAGGGTCGAAACTTGAACATAAAACTTAGGTAAGACGTTTTTTAGATTACTAAAATATGAGTTGCATATTATATAATGTATTGTTCCATGTAAGTAAAAAAATAAAACCACGATTATCAAGTTATTATAATTGACACCCCACGGAAAGGACTTTACCATGGCTGTTCTTTCATTGCCCATAATATGGTTACTTGTATTTTTTCAAACGAGACATGGAATTAATTGTATTTTCTTCAAACAAGACATATAAATGCTCCTTGAAAAATTTTTGTTTATGTCAATAATTTTGGTCATTACGGATCTACATAGGTGTATTTATGTGTTTTTCATTTTAACAAACTTAAACTTGCCTGCTGTACTGATCTAATCAAACTAACTAATCGTATGAGCTTCGAACTTTTAGGTAGACTGTTCCAAAACCTTAAAATCCACGATAAGAAAGAAAAAACAGAAATATGCTGTGAAATCAAAGCTTTTCTTATACACAATTTTCATCTGGATTAGAAATGTACAAATTGTTAAATTAAAACGTGATTAAAAACATTAAAAAATTTACAGATTTAAATTAAACATTGCACAAAATAACACAAACAGTGCGCAATGTAATTGAGGATGTTAATTTAAGCTGCACTAGAAAAGTGATATTCGTACGAAGACATGTAAAATGTAACATGTTGTAGAAGAATGGCATGAGAGGGATGAATAACTTTATTACTTTATTTAGGGTCATGCACGCTTTTTTCGTTGGTATTTTTTTCATAACTTTCCCAATCATTTTTTTTTAAACGTCTATCTCATAAGACGGTGGTGATCAAGCTTGAACCGCATACTGACTTATTTTTAATGATATTAATATTGAATGTTCGATCATAGAGGACGAAGCCACCTATCATAATGAATATGTTAATTTTTTAGGGAAATATCTCTGTTACCGTTGATAAATCAAGCCGTAGCAGCAAAAATATGAGTCTTTTAAGTGATACAAGAGTTTCGAAAACTACATTAAACTATTTTGCGAATTAAAAGGAATAAAGCCTGTGTTTAAATAGTTCAGCCTATCCGCGGTCAGGATGGAGTAAGGAATAAATTTGTTTCGGGAAAACGCAATATTATTTATATTAGAATGCATTTTCTCTTTTGTGGCTTTGATGGAGTAGTAGGTTTGGCTTTGCCTAACTGCTAAGATTGATTTCAGAACAAGAAAATTACACCATGACTATGATACTGAATAAACGATTTTTTTCAGATGCAAGGACGTAAGCTTTTTAAAATTGCAAAAAAGGGATATTCTCTCAGCTGTGAAGGCAAATTTTCAGAAGATAATGAAGACTAAAGCTAAGGCTTTTGCGAACCCAGATGAGACACTGCCCTACAATACAAATATTCTTGCTGACATTCGAATGGTTGACGATACGTCTACCTATTCAAAGTTGTACTCATATTTAATGGATGTGGCAGATTTGGTTAATTCTGAAACGAAACAGCTCTTAGCAAATGGAATTGTGGCAGCTTTTAGGTCACGTTTAGTGATTAGCAGCAAAAACATGTATATAACCAGAATATTTGCGGAAGGCAGAGTAAGTGGGACAAGAACATTTGAGTCGAAAAAGGATATTAGAGTTGAGAAGTTGTGTGTATTGCTAAAGTAATATGTAAATAATTCTACCTTTATAGAAAATGATTGTATGTAAAGAATCTTTAAGTGAAAACGAGCAAATGTGTTTCTTTTACAAAGAAAATCCACGATCTAGCCATACGAACCGTATCCAAAAAAGAATTTCGTATCAGTGTTATAATTATATATACTTCGTATTACTGTTGTTAAAAGCAGAATATTATTATATTTATTTCCAATTTCTACATTTCCATCTACATTCAATTTTACCAAAATGTGATTTAAATAGAAATAAGTTGAGCATGACCGAGTACGGAATCGAACCCAGCACTGCAACCAAATACACACTTCAACCACAATCCCAAACCAACTGCATCACAAGCGATGAAATACGTTTTTGCCGTTGAAACTGTCATATATGGTTCGTACGCACTGTTACTCTATTTAATTCAAATGGTTTTGTTCAATGTTTTCCACGCACATATGCGCACATTTAAAAATTCCCATGGGGAATGCCACCTGATGTCTGATTTGCAAGGTCATTTATTCTTGGTACAATTTTATCGAGTTCAAAATGCAAGCAATTGTAAGGAAGACAAGGACGAAATGTTGGATTGGGCCGCGATCTTTGGTTTAGAGTGGAAAAATATATTAGAAGATATGCCAGACGAACAGGAAAGTAGCAATTTAACAGCTAACGAAGAGTTAATAATTCGGGAAAGTAGTCTGGTTGGGAGCCATACGCAACGACACGTTAAGGCATTTAAGATATAAACATGCGGTGAGGGGAGCTAAATTCAACAGGTGTTTAAATTTAATGAGGAAGGTGGACGGGACTTAGCGAGCTTGTCCGAGTCCTTTATAAAGGGTAGGGAGTACTAAAGAGTGAGCACTGCACAATTCTGCTATCCTAAAAGCGGATGATTTCAGATATGTTGAGCTCGAATGGGTTGGTTTAGGGCTTTGTTTGACCAATATATTTGTAAAGGGGCGTTAGAGATTTAATCACTCACTAAAACAAAAGAAAAAGAACTGCTGGTTTGTGATGGACGACGACTGCAAAAAACATTAACTTAGTTATTTAGATAGTTTAATTAAGTTGTTTTTTTTTTAAGGAATGTAAAATTTTTAATCCCACATTCTTATAGCGGACAATAGAATAAGGAAAGGAAAAAACTGAAAAAGATTAACACAGAAAATTTTGCATAATAATGTGTTTGTAATGTTTTTTCTTTTACATTTGTTTTATCATTATTATACTAATATATTGTTCCTTACACATTTTATTATTTCTTTCTATGTATATTATTGTATTGGTGATTATGTTAATTTTTTTATATTAGCTATCTTTTAGAAGCACTTGCGTTTTATGAGCATTAGAATATTAATTTAATATTAATTTTAGCATTGAGTTGGTATAGCGTAATACAACGTAATAATAGTACATGGGCCTGATATATTTTCGGGGAAGCAGCCATTTAAAATAATTAGTAACGCGTCGAGTGCAATACCTCAGGGATGGTATGGGAAATTGCACACATTTGCCCAATAAATTGGAAAAATACATGTAGCAAAGACTAGGCAAAGTAATTATAGTAATTTATTTATTTATTTATTTATTTATTTATTTATTCCACTTATACAA